CTCTAAATCCATGATCCTATGGTCAAGTACTGCCTCCTATGTGAATTCTTTCCTGATCTTAGAGGTTTATGATCTGGTCAGCAAAATTACCTTGTTTTGTATATACTTGTATATATGCATATGACACCATGAAAAATACAAGTTCAATGAGAACACAAAGCATATCTTCTCTGTTCCAGCATAAAGTAGGCACTTTTTATAAGCTTGCTGATTGACTGATTATTAGTTTTGCAATCTTTACTAGACTGTAAGCTCTTTAAGGACTGTGACTGACAATTTCCTGAACCACCTGCTTACTTAGCACAGTAGGTACTCAATAAATCACTAACAGTCAAATGACATCAAAATGCCTTTCCTCATCTTATTACCATATCGCAATCAACCCTCCCCTTCAAAGAACTTCTCTGAGTTTATTCACTGTTTAGTGTACATAATAAATACAAATCTCATAATTGCTTACATATTGTCGTATATATAGATATAATTTTTTTGACCCAGCTATCTCATAAAAATTCCTCAATGGTATCTATGTTCTTTAACTTACTCTTTTGTGCTCACAGTTGAAGCTAGCAGTTTAGGGCACATCAGTGCTTGTTGAATGAAGGGGCAGAAGAAGCAAAAACCTGACATGTTGATCAATATTTCAAAAAATTACATACCAAGCAATGTAGATCCTTCCTATCTAACAAGAAATTTAAATGTTGCCTTAAACTAAATGTTTATATTTTAAATTTATCTAAAATAACTTGAGGACAAGTGCAATAAGGTAATCTGTCTGGGAAAATATATTACCTGTTCTCTGGGGATGCAAAAATATTCCAAGAGTTGCCTGAGGAGATTCAACATGAGAGACATCGACACTGAAATGGTAGAATATAAGTTCAATAAAACACTGGACTCGAGAAAAAATTTGGAAAATATTATTCAAAATGAAAATAAAAAGGACAAATATATCAGATGTGGAAAAATTTGAGATTTCACAACTTCATAGGAGAAAGAAACTGGCACAGAAATTGGTTAAAGAACACGAAGCAGGCCCCCAAAGGCAACACCAACAACTCCATCCTCAAAGAGAATTATTTATTCTGGAAGGAAAAAGGTTATTGGAAGAAACGTGCCAGAAAGAAGGTAAATTTACTCTCTTAGTGGTGGTGTGTTCAAACTGAGAATTATATTTTAATTGGAACTTATGTAGGCCAAGGGTCTGAAAAACCCTAGAACTTCCATTAGCTCTCCAAGCTGGTGGTTACTACTACTGAATTTACAGAATCAACGACCTCTGAGTTGGAAAAGGCCTGAAAGGCCATCTGGTCTAATTCATTTGAACAAGTGTCACTTCTACAACCTAACAATCAAGGGGTCATCCAGATAATCACTAGAGACCTTCCAGAGACATCCTCATTATACTTTCAGATAGCTCTAATTATTAGGAAGTTTTTAAAGTCTAAATTAGGTTTTCCTAATGTACTAATTTTCTTGCTGAACCATTTCAAATTTAGACCTTACTTAGCTATATGATTTATTTACTTTCAGGCTTCCCAAGACTAGGTTAATGGAATTTTTTGTTAAGCCACATGAACTCCCTAGTGCAGTAACATTTGGAGGCTCCCTACTTACTTCAGGTCCTCCATTTGTCATTTGAAGCCCTTCATATTCTGTCTCCAAAGTGTCTTTCCAGGATGATTACTCTCCCAGACTTAGGTGTCCTAACTGATCTCCCTGGCAAGTGGCCTATTTGCTATTTCTCATAGCGGGCCATTCTGCCTCTCACTTCTCTGTCTAGCACAGGCTGCACCCTAGAGCTGAAATACAATCCTTCCTTACCTCCTCTTCTGGGAGTCCAACCCTAGCTTCCCTCAAAGATCAGCTAAAATGCCACCACTTTAAATAGCTCTGTTAGTGCTTTGCCCTCCCTAAAAAAAAATTACTGTGTTTATAAATGTACAAAGTAATTGGTTCTTTCCCTAATGTCTACAAACAAATCCAAGCCTCTCCAATCCTTTAAAATCCCTCACTTGATCTTAACATTCCCTCCATCAATTGTGTCTCCTCCTTATCATGGCCAAACTCTAAGAAAAAGCTAAATATTTTCCTTAACTACATTTCTTCCTCAACCTTCTGTTGCTTCCAACTTCATCACTCCACTAAAACTGCATTCCAAAATCACCAGTTATCTCTTAAGCAACATATTTGATAGTCTCTTCTTTATCTTCATTCTTGACCTCTGTGCATCATTTGATAATGTTAATCATCCTATCCACCTGAAAGAATACTCTCTCCTGTTTGGGTTTTAATGAAATTAATCTCTGTTGGTCTTTCTCCTGTCTGACCAATCCTTCTCAGTCTCTTTTGCTAGATCTGCATCCACTTCATAACCCCTGTGGACACACCGAAAGGCTAGGTGCAACTCTCTACACACACTGTAGCCTTGACTTCATCAATCCAGATAAGCTGAATTATCATCTCTATGTGGCTAAATTCTAAATCTAGTGTCCCAAAAGCCTTAGTGCAGTTTTAAACTATTTTAGTGTCTCTCCTGACTTTCAGCTCTGCATCATCAACTGCTTATTGTTGTCTCTTAAGTATCTCAAACTCAACACAGCAAAAACCAAACTCATTTCTCTTTCCTAACAACGCTCCCTCTTTACAGATTTCCCCATTTCAGCTGAGGATTTCACTTTCCTTCCACTCACCCAGGTTTGAAAGCTCAGTCATTTCAGTCACTTTTACTTCTCACTCTACACCTCCTAGGCAGCCAATTATTTGCCAAATCTCCTCCATGACTGTACACGTCACCCTTTTCACCTACCCGTGTGTCCACCTTCCAAGTTCAAGCTCTCATCACCTCTTATTTAAACAAGAGACCTCCTAATTGGCCTCAATGACTAACAAGTTGCCAAAGTGATTTTCTTTACTCCACACACTCCAGTTCCTGGGGCTATTACTTCTAGAGCCAAATATAAACTTCTGGCCTTGAAAGACTTTAAACCTGTCCCCAACCAAAATTATTATATCATCCAGAAAAATGGCCTTCTTGCTGTTCTTCACATACCACACTACATGTCCTCTTCTCCTTTCCTTTTATCTATTATGTTCAGAATTCACTTCTTCCTGGTTACTGCCCCTTAGAATACCTAGTTTCCTTCAAAGCTTAGCTGAAATGCCACCTTCTTAATGCCTTTCTGGATACCAAGAGCTGCTAATCTTGCCTCTCCCCCCAACCTAGTATTTTTTTTTTCTCCGACACAGAACGTCAACTCTTTGAGGGTGGTTTAATGTCTTCTTTGTGAAATAGGATTTTAGTTTTGCTGGCGTTTTTTTTTTAAATTAATCTGATCAAAGTAAAACAAAGTTCTGAACAAAGGCTCATTCAAGTAAACTTATCAAGCTGATGGGGAGAGCAACCCTAACAACTTCCCACATCTTCCAGAGTCACAGCAATACAAATAAAGTAGTTTGTTTATTCGTGCAGTAAATAAACACTAGTTAAGTGTCTACTCTAGTTGACTTTTTTTTTTGCTTTTTTGGTGGGGCAATCACAGTTAAGTGATTTGCCCAGGGTCACATAGCTAGTTAAGTGTCAAGTGTCTGAGGCCGCATTTAAACTCAGGTCTTCCGGATTCCAAGGCCAGAGCTCTCCCAGTCAGCATCTTTAAACAATAGTTGTTTGGGATGCATGCGGAGTTCCGTTAGTACTAGCTCCAGTGTGAGGGCTTGCGACCTTTAAACAGTATTGGATTGTAAGCTCCTAGAGAGCAGGCACAGTCTTTTCATTAACTGTAACCCTAGGGCAGAGAAACAGAGGCAGGTCTGGGACACTGAAGCAGCGGATCCAGGCGACCTGAGTTCAAATCCGAACTCGACCTAAGACACTTTCCTAGCTTTGTGACCCTGGGCAAGTCACTTAACTGTGTGTTTGCCTCAGTTTCCTCATCTGTAAAATGAACTGGAGAAGGAAATAGCAAACCATTCCAGTATCTCTGCCAAGAAAAGCCCAAATGAGGTCACGAAGACTTGAGAATAAAGGAGTAATATGGTTAATTTAATTTAGGTCATTCTAACGAAGATGAAACCGAGTCAGAGAGAGGTCCAAGGCCACGTTAGTGGACGATCCGGGAACACCGCTGGCCTGATCTGCCTCGGGTTGGCCCAGATCCTCCTCCGCTTTCCCCTTTCTCTGCCCCAGGCCTCGGCTTCCGGGGTTCGGTGAACACCCCGTGGAAAGAGGCGGCAGAAATAGGGGTCCCCCCGGGCGTTCCCCGCCTCACTCACCTCTCGCTCCGTTCGGCCCCTCGAGAGACCGCCGGGAACCGGACGCTCGCATTCGCATCAACCGCCCAGCCTCGAGTCCGTCCTCTGACCCAGCCGGCCGCGGTCACGCCCCGCCCTTCCAGCGGCAGCGACCATCGCCAACGAGCGAGACCCAAACTCCGCGCGCCGCGACCTAAAGCCCTTCGTATTGGACCGACCCGCGGCCTCCTGCTCACCATTGGGCGGCCTTACCTACCAATCAAAAATCCGGACGTGGGCAGAGGCGCTTTGCCCGCCCCTGGGAAGGCGGGTCTTCAATTCGGGAGGCCAATGGGAAGTCCAAGACCGCACTGTGAGGCCCACGGTTCCCGAGGTAAGTCTGCAGAGAGCTTTTAGATCGGTGGACCTGATTTAGAACTCATGTGGCCACGCTCGCACTTTCTGCTCCCTCTGAGCAACGTCGAGTGTTCCGGGAGCCTCGAAGTTTAGCCGCTCCTCCTTCCCCACCGCTTCAGCTGTGCCTACCGGCCCCGCCCCCAAAGTTCAGTTGGGTCTCCTGGCGCTGCACCCACAGCCAGCCTCACCTCACGTGCCGGGCGTTATCAGACGACCCTCCCTCTGGCAGCGGCCTTGGGCTGGCCGTTATCTCCCTCCATCAGTGACTCACGTTTCGGACGTTTTCCGTTCTTGGGATGCCTTCTATTCTATTCTGGTCCTAACGGACAGTGTAAACTTTGCTCACCAAATCCGGCGATGCTTAGAGACCCCTCTTCCCACCGCCCCCACCTTCGCAAATAGTGCTGTTGTAATAAGCATTCGGAGAGGTATTATTTTGCAAAATTTTACTGGGTAGAGTTGTATTTAAAGCCGTGAGTTCCCTGATTAATTGTGCCTTCCGCACCCTTTTGGCTGCTTGTCATTGAGAATACTTAAACCGACGAATAATTTCAGGCTAACAATTTTAAAATACTTTAGAGGCACACGATTCACACTACCTCGTCCCTCGCAGACCCAGATAAACCTGCACTAAGCAGCAAGTAGTAGGGAATAGGCACCTGGCTCGAGAATCAATTCAACAATTCATCCAGGTCTTGCTAGGTCAAGTCAGAAAGCATTTCGTAGGCGCCTACTATGTGCAGGCACTGTGCTAAAACTCTGGAGATACAAATAAAGGCAAGAGACATTCACAGTCTAATGGGGGAAAGGGTTTACTACATGCAAACAATCACATTTTTAAAAGTATGTACGCAATAAATTGGAGGTATATTCGGTAGAGGGAAGACACCAACATTAAGGAGGCTCGGGAAAGACTTCTCGTAGATGAGATTTTTAGCTAGGATTTTAGCTAGGAGGCCGGGATGACGAAGGAGGGCATTCCAGGCTTGGAACACAGCCAGAGAAAATGCTCCGGGCTAAGAAATGGGAGTGTCTTGTGTAAGGAACAACAGCGTCACTGGATCAGACCTGGGGAGAGGGGGACGGGAGTAAGACGTAAAGACTGGCAAGGTAGTAGGGGCCAGGTCGTGAAAGGTTTTGAACAGATTTTCTTTTTGATCCTGGAGGCGATATGGAGCCACTGCAGCAGTTAATCTCCCCCTCCCCATTGTGTGTGTGTGGGGGGGGTATATAGACACTTTAAAAAGAATAATTTCACAACTGAGTGGAAGATGGACTGGAGCCAGGAAAGCCTTGTGGCTTTTTGAATTGTTTTAAGCCATTCCTACAGTGGAAGAACGTATATTTGCCAAGTGTCAACATGAGGAAAATGTTTTGTTATCTATCAAATCAAGTAAATCTAATTCTTAGTTGTAGCAGTTAATTTCTATAACTATATGTGTATACATATATAATCAGTAGTTTTTAACAATTTTTCTTTATTTTACCAATGCCAGCAAAGGCCACCTTTGGAAAGCACTAAGAATCATATATACATCTGTATTTCTGTGTGATAATCATACATTTAGAGATAGAAGGGATGGTGAGAATCATCTAAAAGAACATTTTTAAAGATTAAGTGCTTCTTTTCCCCAAGGTCATTCAGACAGACAGTAAGTAGCAGAGTCAGCATTTGAATCCAGGCCCTTTGGCTTCAAAATCACAGTTGTTTCCACTATTCCAATTTGCTAATTCAAGTGGTTGAAATTACAATTCATGTTGAACTTTATCCTCTAAAGTTACCTTCCTTATACTTTGTATCTTATATGTACCTATTTGTTTACATGTTTTCTCCTCCATTAACATGTAAGCTTCCTGAGGGTAGCCTCTATTTTTGTGGTGTTACCTTTGTATCTTGGCACACAGTATTTGATAAATGCTTGATTGCTTGATCAACTGAAAATGTTTTAATTCTGTCAAAACTTGTAAAAAGTTTCTTTTCCACTGAATAGACTGCTTGAATTAACTGTTCCAAATAGACAACTTTTGGTGGTAAAAATGTGGTAGGGCCAAAAAGCAGGAATTTAAGGTAACAATCTGTCACTGATACACAGTTATTAGCCAGCTACTTTAGTTGAGGCACTGAGCTAGGCACTGATAACACAAAGACAATACCAAGACAAAAATGAGTGGTCACTCAGCAGGTTCCAAGAGCTGCAGACAGCTTAAGAATTCAGAGTGGTTGAAAAGCCATCAGATTTTGCAGTCAAGAGATCACTGGTAACTCTGGCGAGAATGGTCTTGGATGAGTGATGAAACTGACAAGGGTTGAAATGTATGTATGTAAAAGAGGGGGAAGTTGATAGTAAACTTTCTTGCAGTTTGAGTATAAAATGGATATATATAGGATGACAGTTTGAGGGGGCAGTATGGTCAAGTCAAAGTTTTTTAAGCATAAGAGAGATCTAGGCTTGTTGGTAGGCAACGGAAAGACAATCACATATAGATGGTGAAAATTTAAAAGATCAGATGATGTGTGGGAGCAGGTGGTTGGAGAAAACTGTAAATGGAATCAGAGTATGTGGCCTTGCCAAGGACCACCTCTTCAGAAGAAACTGGAGTAAAGGCAGAGAGAAGAGGGCATGAAGTAAGGAGTTTTTGAAATGTAAAGAGGGAGTTTAATGGCCAAATGGGGGCAGCTGGATATCACAGAGGATAGATCATGAGTATTGGAATGAAGAAGACCCAGTATAAATACAGCCTCAAACTCCCAGCAGCAATACTATCCTAGGCAAGTCACTTAATTTGTCTACCTCAATTTCTTTATCAGTAAAATGAGGAGAAAAATAGCACCTACCTCTATGGTTCTTGGGTTTGTTTCTGTTTTGGGAGGCAGTGAGGTTAAGTGACTTGCCTAGGGTCACACAGCTAGTAAGGGTCAGAGGCTGCATTTGAACTCATGTCCTCCTGACTCCAGGGCCACTGCTTCATATCCACTGCTCCACCTAGCTGCCCCCTCGAAGGGTTCTTGTGAGGATCAAATGAGATGTTTGTAATGTACTTTGCACATCTTAAAGCACTATATAATTGCTGTCTACTACTACTGCTTTTCTCAGTAAAATGTGAACAAGGGCCTTGGGCTGAAAAGATGGGAGAGGAGGATGGTATAGGAATCTGGAGGAAAGAAAAAATTTGGTATACCTGTTGTGAGGAGTGCAATAGTCAGGGAATACATGTGCTAATTTAGGACTCCTTGACTTGTCCATTACAATCTACCAGTCAGTAATAATTAGAGTTATCCTATAAGTCTTTAATACTCAAAGGTGGGCCCTTAGTGATCATATAGTTTGACTTCATCTTACAGTTTAGGAAACTGAGGCTGACAGAAATGAATTATCTTGACTGTGGTCATGTAGGTAACTTATGACAAAGCTAAGATTACTACTACTACTACTACTACTACTACTAATAGCTAACACAGAGCACTTGAAGGTTTATCCAACGCTTTTATGTCATCTCATTTGATCTTTACAGTAATCCTGGAAGGTAGAGATTATTTGTATCCCCATTTTACGGAAAGGTGAGGCACAGAGAGGTTAAGGGCCCAAGGTAAAACAACTAGTAAGTGTCTGAAAGAGGATTCACACTCAGATCTTCCTAACTCCAAGCCCAGCACTCTATGCACTTTGCTCTCTAAATGCTATCATAAAGATGTCCATTTAATTACATTGTACTGCCCTGGAGACTCAGCTTCCTGAGCTCAATCAGGCCTAAGACACTCATTAGTTCTGTTACCCTGGGCAAATCACTTAACCTTGTTTGCTGGCTTCCTCTCTGTGAAATATACCTTTGCTAAGAAAACCCTAAATGGGTCAAAGACAACTAAAAATAACAACATGTTCACAGGAAGTCAAAAATGAAACCTTCTGCTTTCAAGGACCATACATTCTACTCTACCATTGTCTATTTCTTCTCCAAGTGGGAATTTCCAAGGAAATAAAAAGTAGTTCTTCCTCAAAAAGAAGCTGGAAACCTAGAACAAATGTAGGTGCAAAGTGAAACCTAAAATGTTCTGTGTACACTAGCTTTCTTTCCACATCTATATTGCATCATGCTTTAGTGGTCAGAGTATAGAAGTCAGAAGTCTGGATTCTAATACCAACTCAATCACCAACTGACTTTGGTCCAGTCACTTAACCTACAATTTTCTTATGGCCTGATTGCTTCTTTAAAGGTTATAAAAATGGTTTAATAAGAGAATCTTCTCCACATAAAAATGATGGCTTTCTTTGTAACTAAAATGTTTTAAACCAAATTCTTTTAAAAATTGCTTTTAACTATGAAAATCTGTTTTATCTGTTTCTTTTATTTAAAAAACTAAAGCAGCAAACTAAATAATGGAGTTGAGTTGCAGTTCCTACTTTGTTATTAGGTGGCACTACTACTTCTTGGAGAATTACATTAAAATCTAATCAATATTAAATGTTTAAAAAATTCTATTGATATATTTTGTTTTTACATCACCTGAGTTTGTCTCACATCCCTACCCCTCTTAGAGCCATCAGCAATATTTAACATTTATTAACTTTTAAGACTTTATTGAAATACTAATTAATGGATTTACTTCATTGATCTGGACACTCCCAGCACTTAACTAGATTGCATGCCATTCATGACTTTTCATCCTATGTGATTTTTATTTCATGTCCTTAAGCCCTCCCAAGGGCATCTAACCTAGAATCCTTCCTTTAAATCTTCTAATTTTTATACCTATCAGTGCCATACTTTGTATGTACATCAGTTATTATTGGTCTATTACTACACCATCAGTCTCCATTCTTATTTTTTACAGCATTTCTTACACATTGATAGTAGGCTGCATCTTCCTTATACTCACCAAGTACTTACCCATTGACCATGAAGTCATTTGTGTTTTTCATTCTTCTGAAATTGTAGTGTTCCATAATTGACCCAATATATAGAAAATACTGAGATTAAAATGATAGAATTTAAAGAGTAGGACCAAGAGGAAAATATACATAATGAAAGTACTAACATTAAAATGATGTTCAAAGAGTAATCTCTGTCCCAGAAAAAAGAAGAGGCATACTCCCCTTTCCGGAGAAAAGTAAAGTTTTTTAAACAATACTTCTGTATTCTTTGTATAATGAAAACAAAATTTTAAATAAGAAAATGAAACAATGGAATTACGTGTATTGTCAGACCTAGTTAGTTTTTGCCCAAACTCCTATTTTTTAATATGGAGATTTAGTGAGACAGGGATGAGTGTCAGAAGAGGACTGAAGGCATAAATACAAATTATTAATTTAGGGGAAGGAGAATTCTATGGGCTTTTGTATTAGGGAGCTGCTTGAAAATATTAAAAGACCTGTGCAATTATTCCAAATCTCATAATCTCTTCATCTTAATTCTGGATCCAACTCATTTTCCATTTGAAGTGCCTATCCAAGACAGAGGCACTGATAGACTAATTCGGTAGGCCACACACTTGACATGCCATCATGATCTAAACAGGACACGTGTTCATTTGATTTTTCCTGTGAATTGTGAAACTTTTGAATGGTCATGAATCTTCTTTAGGAGGTCATATATTATCCCTGTGTTTATTGCAGCAAACACAATTTACTTAATTCAAAAAACTAAGTGTGAAAGATAATCTAAGGGTTAAACTCCAGATACTTCATTAAGAGGAAGTAAGAACAACTTTTAAACAGAAATAACTGGAGGAATTAAACATCCAAAAGTATAAATATCTTCTGTTTGTCTCTACTTCCATTTTTAAAGAGATATGTGATGGTAAGGGCCATAACAGTTGTCAGTTAAAGAGATTTAGCTTCAGACCCACAGAAGAGAGAAACAACAGTTAAAGCATGTCATCCTGGTCTTACTATGTTTCTGAATCATTCCAAAATTATTCATTCATCTCTTCAGGTAAGGAGTTTCTAATCCATTTTTCCCTTAAGTGAAAATTAAAATTGTACATCATTTTAATAGTCTAGTTAAAACAGTCAAAAGAAAGTAGTATCACAAAATTCTCTTAAAAAATCTAACAGCTATTTTGATGTGTTTTTAAGTGTGTGGTTAACATAATTCATTCAGCCTCTTCCCTCCCTCCCTGTACCATCTTGCTTAGCCATATTTATTTTTACCACTATAGCAAGTGTTTCTTTTATTCAAGACTATTTGCTTTTAATATTTTGTGCTTTTATGACTCTTATCCAAATATTTTGTTTTAAAAATTATTACAAATAAGTGTTGCCTTTTAGGCAATTAGGAAAATTTGAGAAAACTTATTTAAAACATAAATGAATTTTTTTCATATAGAATCATGAATGCAGGATCTCACTATCTTTCAACTAGTTAAAAGTCACTATGGGCCTAAGAGCCCTTATTAAAAGCCTTTATTTTATTAATAAAAACTAATCTCAACAGGCCTATCACTGCTTTGTGCATTGTAAAATTATCTTAAATTACAGCAGTTTTACCATTCCCTAAAAGTATGAACCAGTGCTCTTTAAGTTAGTAGAGTGAAATCTCTAATTTACGTTATGACAATTAAAACATTTGTTTCCTTGTTGTAATAAGGCATGCATGCATCAGAGAAGAGCAGAGAAGAGCAGAGAAGAGCAGAGAAGAGAAGAGAAGAGAAGAGAAGAGAAGAGAAGAGAAGAGAAGAGAAGAGAAGAGAAGAGAAGAGGGCAAGAAGTTCAGTAGGTTCTGAGGGGAGTGTTCTAACACTGAAATTTATTTCTGCATTATCTCTTTACCTTTCATAGCTAAGCAACCAGTCTCCACAGCTCTGACTTGACTGATTTAATAAATATTTGAGCACCTAGTTAAGTACAGAGATTTATGCTAGGCTGTGGAATGCCTGAAGAAATTTAAAACTTGTCCCTACACTCAAGCAATATACTGTCTAGTGAAAGACTAATACATGGAAGCAATTAACAAGAAACATAAAACAGTATATAATTAAATTGTATTAAGGGAAATCAATGAAAATTAGGAGACAGCTTGGACTAGCAGTTTTTAAAAACTAGGCTGAAATCTCAGCTATACTTTTTATTACCTGTATGACCTTGGGCAAAATTTTAATTCTATAGGCCACCTCAGTTTTATCATTTACAAAATTAAAGGGCTGGACTAGATTTATAGCCTCTTAACCCTGTGGTCCTAACTAGGAAGGCATTATAGAAGAGTTAAGATTTTACTTAGCTAAAACTTGAAGGAGAATTTGGAAAGAGGGGAATACAACTACAATATGAACAAAGGAATTGAGGTGGGAATGGAGCATACTTTGTTGCTGTGATATTGAGAACTGTCCTATATGCTGCAGAAAGCTCAGATGGGGAACTAGCAGAAAATGGGTAGTGTCAGACCAGATCATAAAGGTTTTTGAATGCCTAGGGCCTAAGCAGACTTCAGGTTTGGGAGCAGGGAAAGGACATGATGAAAAGAAATCTCCATCCTACTCACCCTGGCTCCACATTATGTCATATCCCACCTTTAGAATACTAGGTAACAAAGGGCATAGAGCACTGGGCCTGGAGTCAAGACCCAAGTTCAAATGTAGCCTCTGATACTTACTAGCTCTGTGACCCTGGAAAGGTCATTTAACCTCAATTTCCTTATCTGTAAAATAGGAGTAATAGCAGCACCTATTTCCCAGGGTGGTTGTGAGGATCAAATGAGGTAGATGTAAAGCACTTTAAGAGCTATGTGTTAGCATATAAAGTTTATAAATAAAGTTAAACGTGTTTTGGTTTGCTTGTTATTTATGTCCCCAGTGCTCAGAATAGTCCACGGCACATAGCAGGCATTTAATAAATGCTTTGTCTACTCTCTGTCAATTCCCTAGTACTGTGTTGCAAAACATATAGAATAAGTCATTCCTTGAAAGGAATAGGCTTTAGGAAGCCCATACACTGCTCCAAATGACAGTTTAACTCCGTTCAGAGACTTGCTGTAGAGCCTATGGTACTTGACCTTTCTGGGCCTGTTTCCTAATCAATGAAAAGAGGGAACTCTACCTGATGATGATCATTAGTATATCACCTGGTGATAAATTCTATAATCCTGTTCACTATGGTGGTATTCTTTTCCTTCAAGGGTGGATTTGAATTTTAGGAATGTTTCTACAAAGAAAGTACGTCAAGAGGGAAGGAGTGGTAGTGGAAAGCAGATTAGAAATTGTAAATGCACAATCAACAAAATTTGGCAACCTGATTAGACCTGGAGGATAAGGAGTAAGTGTAGATAATTCTAGGGTTTTGAGCCAGGGTAATTGGGAAAAATCATGGTGCCTTTAATGGAAATAAGGAAACTAAAAGTAGAACAAGTTTGGGGAGGAGTAGGGAAAGGGAAGATGATGAATTCAGTTTAAGATATGCCAAGTTTCAGAGCCAGTCAGAAGCCTATAGGTGCATGTATGACAGCTGTAAATGTGAGTCTGGAGCTTGAGTTCTAATTAGGGAGTCACTCACAGAGTTGATAACTGAAACCAGGGAACTAATTAATCACTGAGGACAAGTGTGGAGAAGAAGGTAACCTAATACAAACCTTTGGGGGATCCCTGACTTTGGAAGACAGAAGGAGTAAGAGGAGCCAGTAAAGATACTGGATGATTCTCAGAGTCAGAAGTAAAACTACAAATGCAGTGACAAAATATCTGTAGTGGGATGGTCAATACTGTCATACTGTGGAGCGCAAAAAGGATTCAGCAATTAAGTTACCCTTGAGAGCAGTTTCAGTGCAATAGTCGGGAAGAATCCAAATTATAATAATTTTTAAAAAGTAAATGGTGATAGGATTAAATATCAAATTTGGTAGCAGAGATATGAAATTGTCCCTTCAGATGGCCCCAAGTTGGAGAGGTTTTGCTGAATGCCTCTGCCTTCTTCCCCAAAAAGGAAAACTCCCAAAGGAGCTAGGAAATCTGTGGTTTTAAGTTGAATTGACTTAACAATGTATGTAAAATATTTCTAAAGCATTAGCATATTACATTAAAATATAACTTAGATGGGAATGATATATATTTAAAAAAAACACTAATCACCTAAAATCACCTTTTCTGTGTAAAGTACTGGTACTAATTTCTGATCTTTTCCATTGTATAGGCACTCAATTATCTTTCAGAATGCCATTCTGACATAATGACACAGTCTGACATGATAGCAAACTTGGAGAATCTAAGGAAAAGGTCTTTAAAATATTATGAGGAATATGGGCAGCATGGCATAGTGGATGAAGTACTAGACTTGGAGCAAGAAAGACAAAGGTTCCAGTGTGGCTTTAGACATTAGCTATGCCGACCTGGATGAATCAGCTAACCTCTTTGTATCTCATGCAATACCCTATGATTTAGGTCATAGAAAATTCTGATCCTGTACTGGCAAAAACCATTACATGGTTTCCACACAGGGAAGTCCCTAACCTGTCCTTCAAGGTATATATCTTTCCTGTATTTGTGCAGTTTTATAAAGATCATGCTGTGTTTTAAATGACCATAAATAGGAAAAAGTTATCTTAAGGGGAAAACTGGGAATCAGTTGGACCAATGACTTCCTAGAGAGTTAAGGAGAAACTCCTTCCACTAATTTGGGTTGCCTGAGGGCAATGAGGTAAGTAAGTAACTCACCCAAGGACACAAAGCTAGTGCCAGGGCAGAGCAAGAATCCAAATCTTCTGAACTATCCCCTCCTCCATGATGCCCCAGTTTCTTCATACTCCCTTCATTTTATAATGCCTATGGGAAAATTAGATATTCTTGCTTGTCTCCATTTGAATTACTTTAAAGGATACCTGATTTCATAGGAGGGAGTCTTCGAACACGCAACATGCTTTGGAAGAAAATTCTAAACTGTACTCTATTGTAGGCACAAGCCTGCAGAAATAATTTTTAATTATTCTAAATCTGACCTTTTTATAGCTTAGAAAAATATTTAAACTGACACAGCCTCCTTATGTGTTCAGACATCTAACCTAAGGCATTTCAAAGTCCCAATGTGTAAGATTCTTAGTTATTTCAGTCAAATTTGAACAAGAATGTAAAGTTTAGGCAACAGTTAACAGTTTGCTTCTTGAAATAAAAAGTTATTTAAATTGGCACATCTTTTTTCCATTTACCTAAAAAACATTCATTCCCCCTTTAACTATCCCCTTCAAGAGTTCTCCTTTCCAGCAGATCAGAAGTGAACCCAAGAGATATTTCAAATAAGTGAAGTAATCAGAAGTTTCTTCTTTCTCTTAGGTGTATCAATATCCTCAATTCCTTCTGGATATGGAGAGAAGAGGCTGCTGTTCTTAAATGAATCCATCTAGGATCCTTGTCCTATGACATCTTAATTATTTGAGAGAGGAATCCTTCCAGGAAGGATTAAAAACAGAAGCAGAACATTTGTCTTAATACGTCAGTGCAAACACTGGACTAAGATAATTTTTAAACATTTTGGGAGCAGGAGTGCTTTGTTTACTTTATGCCTTATAAAATGGGGTGTTCAACTATAAAAAGCAGGTTTTTTGAAGATATCAGACTCTTGTGCAGTGTGACTGTAAACACAAAAATACACTTTACATCCTATGTGGTTATCCGGCAATGTATAAAACATGAACAATTGTGATTGCCATCAGTTTATTTTCAGACCCTTCCAACAAAGAGATTTTGTCATTTGTGCCATTCCTGTCAGTTTTCCCACAAATCCTCCATAATCTACCCAAAGCTCAGGATGCCTTCCTAACTGTTCTTTTAAGACAGTAGAAATACCATGAGAATTACCATCTATCGTCCCACCATTGACCAACCTATCTATGTTTCTGGCCACTAATTTACACAGACTCAGTAATATATTTTATGCCAAGTCTTCACTAGTATTTACTTATACCCACTAGGCATCTTTAAATTTTTTTTAAGTACAAGAACTCACAAAAACATAGCATCACCATAGTATAATTTAAGAGATGGAAATATGTGGCAGTAAACAGTTTGCCATCATTGAAAGCCCTGTGCTATTTCCTTACTATATTCCAGGCTTATCTCCAACTCTGATTCGTTGCTGAGTCCAGCTTATTTTTATTAAATATATAGATAGATATAGATAGACAGATAGATAGATAGATAATCTGAAAAAAGCAATGGTGACATGGCAAATTGAATAGTGGATTTGAAATCAAAAAGACCTGGGGGTTTGATAAGACACTAGTTGTATAGCCCTGGTTAAATTCACTTAACCTTTCTCCTCAGCTTCCTTATTTATAAAATGGGGACAATTACATTACCATTCTAATAAGCTGGTTGGGAAGATCAAATGAGATATTATTTAACTATTAGTATGAGGGGCTATGGGTGCTTTTTTTCTCCCCATTTACTTTGTTCTCTAGTATTGATGGTTCAACTTTTCCCATTGCTAAAAAAGTTTTGTAATGTTCTAGGCTTCATACAATCAGTATATTGCAATTAGCTTATCTGTGAAAAGAAATTTTTGGAGAACTGTAACATGAAATTCTTTGACTCTGACCTTATGTGTAACAGCTTTCATGAAAATGTGGAACATATAAATATTTACTAAAAATCTTGTTTTACACCTGATTTGATGTCAATAACAACTGATGTTCAGTTAGCATGTT